GATTAGGGCATCCTTACACTCCTTTGAGGAGTTTACGGCCCCAAGGCCATTTCCTTTTGGGTTTACGACCATAAACCCATCGAGAAAGTGGTCTTTTCATGTTTTCAAGTCCTTAGCTCAATAAAAAATGGAACCATGTTAGTTATTAAGGCATAGGAATAAATATGGGCCATTTATACACTCTATGAGGTGTTTACGGTTTTGGGAGCTCCCCAAACCATAAACACATATAAAATGGGAGATTCTTGTGCTTTTTATGTGATAAACTCATCAAGGAAGGATTCAGACTTGTTACAAAGGCTTGTGGTGGACTTAAGCACCCTAAGGCACCTTAACTTGGTGTTTACGGTTCAAGAACTTCTTGAACCGTGAACACCTAGTTCTTGGTGTTCTTGGGTGAATTCCTTAATATTAATATTTATAGCAAGCTTTAAAAGACTCTAGGATAGAAGTACTTAGTATGTGGAAGCTTGAAATGAGCTAAAAGTCTAAGAACACTAGTATGTGTTCTTGGTGAAACCTGAAGATTCACCCTTTTGGAAAGATCTAACAAATAGAAGTGTGTTAAATCACTAGATTAAGTGATATACTAACTCAAAAGGGCTACAAACACTTACTAGATTGAAGATCTTGAAGAAAACTTGGATGATACTTGAGAGAGTTTGGGATTTGTTCTTGAAAAGGTGGAAAAGTGCTAAAAATGGAAAGTGCCACTTTTATACCCTCCCCTTTAGGGTTTACGACCTTAAACACCAATTTTAGACCGTAAAATCTAAACTTTTGATGTGTCGGGACCTTATTGTTGCACAATAAACCCTAGGGCATCCTCTCTCCTTATATCTCCTAAAGTGTTAATCCTGGAATACTCAAACTTATTCCAAAAAGTCTGAAAATTAACAGTAACTATTTTGACTTCTATTGATTTGATCTGTTATACATAATGGAAATTTCGGGTTGTCACACATTTCTTTAATCTGCACCTAACTGTTGGATAAGGTGTCTAAGTCCATAACTATTTCTGGTATGTACTTGACCCGACCCGACATGGTCCATTTGGGTTGCATGGCACCATGCAATTGGATAGACTATATGAGAGAAATAACACTTTTGGTTTATTAATATATTATAAGTTCTAATATATTAATAGTATTATTTAATTGGTTTGACCAAGAATTAACTTAAAATTAATTAAGTGATCAAAAGATAACTAATTAAATATATGGATTTATTATGTAAATCATCCATAACATATATAGTGGGCTAAGAGGCTCCATGGATTATCAAGTTGGGTTAAACCCAAAGGATGCTCCATGGATGCTCCATAGGAGTTACAAACCCATGGGTCATGGAAATGAAGAGTCATGACACATTAGGATTTACATGGTGTAACCCTAGATGTGTCAACACTATATAAGGAACCCTTTATAGACCAAAATCGGCTATACATAGAAGAGTGAGGGCTAGGCCGATTTTTAGAGTGTTTGTATTCTCTCAAAAGTCATTCCAAAAGCATTTGGTGTTGTGTGAAGCTTTTGAGGCATCACACTTGGGGTGCTAGGCTCACAAGGTTTCAAGGAATCAAAATCAACTACAAGGTATGTATTTCTAGCTATCCTTTTAGGATTAAAGTTCCCCATGTATGCTAGATAGGATTATGAACCTTGGAAACCAAATTTTGCATGTATTTAGAAAAATATCGATCCAAGGTTTATTAGGGTTGCATGTACACTTAGGAAGTGTTAGAATGCTCAAAACTCATCACTAACTAAGCCAAGTAAGAACACCATTGTTTTAAACAATTAAAATTAAAGCTTTACTCATTAAACCATTTAACTAGGCTTTAAATGATGATTAAGTGTTGGAAAAATAATGTTCATGTCCAAAAATTGGGGTTTACGGTTAAAAGGGGGTTCACGACCGTAAACAGGTTCACGGCCGTGAACCCTTCAATGGTCGTAAACCTTTCAAAGTGCCGTGAATGCCGAATAAAGGTTTTTCATCTATTAAGCCCTCGATTCACGGTCGATTCACATGAAAAATATCTTTGTAGGGTTGGCCATGAGCATACCTGTGCTAGGAAACAAAGAATTTCACAAAAAAATGTGAATAAAAAATCGGCAGTGAGAGAGAAAGTATGGGAGTTCACGGCCGCTGTCACACCCTGAAAACCAAGGCGGAAACATTTCCGGGGCGGACTCCACGTTGAGTATCAAAATCCAATGCACATAGTAAGCAAAGTAAACAACCATTACATTACATATGAAAATTTACATTTGTTCAAAAGTAAAGTTGTACAAGTGTGATACATATGTATATATAAACAAAAGCAAAACGTGTCTTCGATGCACTCCGTCTTCGACAAAAGGATCATCGGGTACCTGTCTAATGCGGACCTGAGAATACAAGCAGTTTGAAAATCAGCATAAATGAAGAGGCCTTTAGATCAATCGATATATCAAACAAAGACAATAAATGAGAACAAGAGAAATTCACGAAGAAAAACTTTCACTAAGAAAGATAATCTCACAAAGAGATTATCGTGTGCACAAAGCGATGATTAGGGTTTGTGAAAGGCGTAGCAATTCACAAACATGTACAAGATAATATATACTATTATTCTAGACAATCCCTACAATTCAGGGATACGCTAGCTAATAAATCAAGATAACTAAGGAAACAGAATAAATACATGATTTGTTACAATGCACTGAATAAACTAAACTAGTACAAACTGAGCAGTTACACGCTGGTGCTGATGCTGAGACATGTGCTGACGCTGAGTCTGTTTTAAACATAATCATATTTCAAGGTTTGACCTTACAATCTCCCCCAATATGATGATGTTCAAAACAAACTAAATAAAGACACCTCTGGAAAGAAATTCTTCATACTCAACTTCAGCTTCAATTTTAACTGGCCAGTAAGGACTGTCCAGCAATTCCTGTCTTCTGTTCAACAGCTCCATGGCTATAAGAATGTGAAATTCTCCGGATAGATCTTGATGACTCATGCACATTTGCCTTAATCCAACAAGGTGAGTGGTTGGAGCCTTTGGGATCTCAGTAGTTTGTTGAAAGCACATCCTCCTGTTTTTGTATAGATAGAACATCCCGTGTTCAGGAGCTGAGATGAATTGATGCTGAACTGGATCAACACCTAGAGGAAGTGAATTGTTAATTACACCAGCACCAAAATCTAGAACCAATACATCTTCACCATGAACATGAAACTTGGTTCTTCGAGATCTAGGAACTGACGACCTTTGGCCTTGATGCTGAGGTCGTTCTTTAGGAACAAGATCCAAACGCTGAACTTTCTTGATCAGCAGATGAAGAGCACAAGTCAGTTCTAAAGAGTGAGCTAAGGTTTGCTTGGATGCAAGATCAAGCAGTTCCATCCATTCCGAATACCCATATCTAATCAGCTCATCCCTCTTGACAACTTCAGTATATGAGTGCTGAGGACCTTGACGAGTGATCAGCAACGTAAGGATTTTCTCGTTTCGAGGTTTAGAAGCTTTGACTTTGATGATCTTATCTCCACACATTCGCCGATTAAAAACATCTTCAAATCTCTTTCGATCAATCCGGTCAAGAACACTGTCACTCTTAGGCTTGCTAGAGCTAGGAGGTTGAGAAGACTGCGCCTTGGACTGAAATTCCAGGAACTTCTGTATCTGAGCTTCAAAAGATCCCTTGGCCTGAAGTTTGTGCTGAATAAGAGATTCATCAGCTTGAGCAATGTTCTTTAGAAGCTGAGCTCGATTGGCTTCATCAAGAATTTGCTTGACTTGATCAGGGGACATGTTCCATTCAGTGGCAAGGTTTGAAATACTGACAATGGACTTGGGTTTCTTCACAGTTGAAGAAGTATCAGTTTGAGAATGATCCAAGTCAGTATCTGCTACCTTCTGCTTTCGAGACAGCGGATGAGATTCTTCACTGGCAATGTCCGAATCCTCTCCTTGGACCGGAATGATAGGATCAACAATAGGATCGGCTAATATCGGATGAGATTCTTCAAGGTCATCTAAGCTTTCTTGCTGAACTGGAATGAGAGGATCAATGAAGTTCATGTCAAGAATTTGACATTCATCATCAGGTTCATCATGCTCTTCATCATGCTCACTGTCGTCAAACAATTTTTCAGTAGCTGCTGGACTATTATGCCCCGCAGAATCAGATTCAGGAATGGGGTTGGGTGATTCATGCTGAAAGATAGTGTTGTCAGTATGTTCTGTGTCTTTCTCATTTGGTTCACCATCAGCATGAGCATTTGGTTTACCATCAGCATGATCATCAGCATCAGCATCATCATCAGTATCTCCCCCTTTTTGAGCATCATTAGATTTGGGACTAGAGGGACGAGTAAGTAAGAGAACCTCCTTGATTTGTTGAACATCAGCCTCAATACGAAGCAGACGCTGACTCATGTCCCGAGTCAGTGACATCAGTTCAGAAAATGTTGAAGCGGGAATTTGAACCTTTGAGGTACCTGGGGCAACTGGAGAGCTAGGTTGCATCCTTGGAGAGAAGTGGTGAGCTGCTGGTGATGGATGCTCCCCCTGAGACTGATGCTCCCCCTGTGATGGTTGCCCCCCCAGAGGCATGCAATCCTGTGGTGTAGAGGAGGCTTTGCCAGTGGCCGAGATGAGGTGATGAGAAAGTTGAGGGGAGAAATGGCCGCCATCATGATGTTCCACCTCTTGATCAGCACGATCCATACGATTACCATGAGCACCTCCTTCATCAGTGTCAGTAGTGAGAGAAGGCATAGTGTATGGATTGGCAATCCATTCTCTCATCCTATCGGAGATTCCAATGTCAGTATCCAAAGGATCATCCTGATACATACGAACGGACATTCGAGGGCATTGGATTGGATTCCTAGAGTGAGAAAAGTAGTCAACAGCGAAGAATTTGTCGAACACCAGGGCAATCCAACGTGGAAAGGGAACATGATCAGCATGCACATTTGCACGTAGAAGCTGAACAAGCTGATCAGCAGACGACTTGTTGCTCATAATTACTCAATTGATCACCAATGCGAGACTTGTGACCCACACACTTGCATAAAGCACCAGTGAAAAACTTCCAGCCTGGGGTCATGCACTGACGCAAAATAAGAGCTGATCGAGTACCAGCCTTTGAATGATCATAGCCCAGTTGATCAAATATTCGTTTACATATTTCAATAGTTGGAGGTTCAGAAAAGGGTTCGAAAATTGGTAACCTTAAAGCAGCACTGAGTAGTTCTGCGGTGATGAAGACAGAGTGTCTTCCATGACCAATGGTTCCGGTGATGGCATTGTTTTCTTCATTAACTGTTGTAGTATAGTAAAACTCACATACTTGTTCAGGGAAGAACTCGGACAGTACATCACTGATTGCATATCGAAGGCGGCAAGAAGCCAAGAAATTGACGAAATCATCGAGTCCAAGACCTCGATGAACCTCTGGAATGTCAGGGTTGAAGACGACATTGGTTTCCTTGATGTGAATTGGAAGTGGAGGAGAGTTTGGGGCAGGAACGACTCTTCGAGAGGTTGAGGAGTATGTGAACAGAGATGCCGCCATTGGAGAGTATTTGAGAATTCTAGGGTTTTTGAGAAAAGTTCAAGGTTTTGGAAGGAAAAATTAAACCAAGGGAGAAAGAGGTTTAAATATGAAATGAAAAGGGGGTTTTTAAAAAGGTAATAATTATCTTCATTAAAAAGGTGATGATTATCTTCATTAAGAATAACGGCGCATCGTAACAATCTGTCACAGTAGAAAATAGCCGTTGGATAAAAGGGCCGTTGACTGAAGGTGAAACGTCAATCAGTGTTTGCGGAAGCGCTGAGCTCAGTGTCACAAAAGTTACGTGCTGAGAATATTTCTCCGTCAATTCAAGGTACAACTTGCTTAATCAGGGCTAGCAAGGAGATTGGTGCGTGTGATAGATACTAGTTACATTATCTAACCATCAGCACAGAGTGTTGTGACTTCATCAGTGAGTGGTTTATCTTACTGAATCATTAGACACTGAATAAGAGGAGGGTTAAGAATGGATTGTTGCGTGTGATAAACCTTGGTGTTTTGGTCTAACCATCGGCAAAGATTTTTAGACTCTCATCAGCGTGTGTTTTGGCACACTGAATCACAGAATCAGTGTAAGAATGGTAAGAAGGGGTAATTGCGTGTGATAGATCTTGGTGTTTTGATCTAACCATCGACAAAGATTTTAGATTCTCATCAGTGTGTGTTTTGGCACACTGAATCACAGAATCAGTGTAAGATTGGTGAGAAGGGGTATTTGCGTGTGATAAATCTTGGTGTTTTGATCTAACCATCGGCAAAGAGTTTCAAGTCGTTATCAGTGTATGGTTTAATACAGTGAATCATTCAACGTTTGTTTAGAAGACTTGAAGAAGAGATAAAGATAAGAAATCAAACCAAAGTGCTCAGTAGCAAATATCATCAGTATGTCATCATCAGCACAATGTACATCAGCTTATAAGACAATATCAAACATTAGCACAATTACACGTCAAAATTAATTACAAGGAAATCATTCCCAGTTCTCTGATAATGTAAGCAGTTGATTGAGAATCCAGTGCCTTTGTGAAGATATCAGCAAGTTGCTCCGAAGTCTTGGCATGTTCAAGAACAACTTTTCCTTTTTCAACATTATCTCTGATGAAGTGATGTCTGATTTCAATATGCTTTGTCTTTGAGTGCTGAACAGGATTTTGTGTGATCTGAATGGCACTGGTGTTGTCACAATATATGGGAGTCTTTGAGAACTTGAACCCATAGTCGAGAAGCTGATTTTGAATCCATAAGAGCTGAGCACAACATCTCCCAGCGGCAACATACTCAGCTTCTGCAGTTGAGATGGCTACTGATGTTTGTTTCTTGCTAGACCAGCTGATGAGACGATTGCCAAGGAAGTGACATCCACCAGATGTACTCTTTTTGTCTAAATTGCATCCAGCATAATCTGAGTCAGTGTATCCATAAAGTTCAAATGCTGAGTCACGAGGATACCAAAGAGCAAGGTTTTAAGTTCCCTTTAAGTATCGAAAACTACGTTTGACAGCCATGAGGTGAGATTCTTTTGGATTAGCTTGGAATTGAGCATAGAGAATGATTCCAAACATAATATCAGGATGACTTGCTGTGAGATATAAGAGGGATCCAATCATTCCTCGATACAGAGAGTGATTGACATCAGTTCCAGTTGGATCAGCGTGTATCTTATCAGTCTTAGACACTGGAGTAGAGGCTGGTTTGCAGTCACTGAGAGAATACTTAACAAGCAGGTCAGATATATATTTACTTTGACAAATGGAAATACCTGTCTTTTGTTGCTGAACTTCAAGACCTAAGAAAAAGGTCATCTTCCCCATCATGCTCATTTCGAACCTTTGAGACATGATCTCTGCAAATTCCTTGCTCAATGTCTCATTTGGAGAGCCAAAAATGATGTCATCGACATAAATTTGAACAAGAACCATGTCTGAGCCTTTGTTTTTGATGAAGAGAGTATTGTCGATTGCTCCTCGTCTGTATCCATTTTCAAGCACATACGATGTCAGCGTCTCATACCAAGCCCTGGGAGCTTGTTTCAGTCCATAAACAGCTTTGTCTAACCGGTACACGTAATCAGGATGACCTTTGTCCACAAAGCCTGGGGGCTGATTTAGGAATACTTCTTCTTCTAACACACCATGAAGGAATGCTGTTTTCACATCCATCTGATAGACAATGAAGTTCATGTAGGATGCATATGCAAGAAACAGTCTGATAGCTTCAATGTGAGCAACTGGAGCAAAAGTTTCCCCATAGTCGATGGATTCAATTTGAGTAAACCCTTGAGCTACAAGCCTTGCCTTGTTGCGAGTGATGATTCCATCTTTATCAACCTTGTTACGATAGACCCAGCGAGTTCCAGTGATAGTTTTCCCGGATGGTCTTGGGACATGAGTCCAAACTTTGTGCCTTTCAAACTCATTCAGTTCTTCTTGCATGGCTTTGATCCAATCAGCATCTTGAAGAGTTGTGTGTACTTTATCAGGTAAGATCATTGAAACAAAGTTAACATACATGCAAAAGTTATTAAGTGCACTAGATCTGGTTCGGACACCATCATGAATATTCCCTATAATTCGATCAACAGGATGATCTCGATGTTCAATGACTGATGTTGATTCCGGAGAGATAGACACTGACACATTATCAGTTTCAGGAGAATCTTCAGCTTCAAGGGTTTCATCAGCACTTAATGAATTATCTGCTGATGTGGCTGCAATATCTTGATTCAAGGAACATGGAACTGGAATGATAGGATCAGAGGAATCAGTCTTATCTTCAGCAGAAGGTGCTTCATCGAATGGACAAGAGAGAAGCTCTTGAAAGATAGAAGGAGAATGAGTGACTTTTTCATCAGTGTATGATTCCTCATCAAACCTCACATGAATGGATTCTTCAACACATTGCCTATTCACATGAAAAACACGAAAAGCCTTTGAAATAGATGAGTACCCAACAAAAATACCTTTATGAGCCTTAGGTTCAAACTTGGATCTTGGGTCACACTGATTTAGAATATAACAAATGCATCCGAACACATAAAAAAAGGATATGCGAGAAACAGTCTGATAGCTTCAATGCGAGCAACTGGAGCAAAAGTTTCCCCGTAGTCGATGGATTCAATTTGAGTAAACCCTTGAGCTACAAGCCTTGCCTTGTTGCGAGTGATGATTCCATCTTTATCAACCTTGTTACGATAGACCCAGCGATTTCCAGTGATAGTTTTCCCGGATGGTCTTGGGACATGAGTCTAAACTTTGTGCCTTTCAAACTCATTAAGTTCTTCTTGCATGGCTTTGATCCAATCAGCATCTTGAAGAGCCGTGTGTACTTTATCAGGTAAGATCATTGAAACAAAGTTAACATACATGCAAAACTTATTAAGTGCACTAGATCTGGTTCAGACACCATCATGAATATTCCCTATAATTCGGTCAACAGGATGATCTCGATGTTCAATGACTAATGTTGATTCCGGAGAGATAGACACTGGCACATTATCAGTTTCAGGGGAATCTTCAGCTTCAAGGGTTTCATCAGCACTTAATGAATTATCTGCTGATGTGGCTGCAATATCTTGATTCAAGGAACATGGAACTGGAATGATAGGATCAGAGGAATCAGTCTTATCTTCAGCAGAAGGTGCTTCATCGAATGGACAAGAGAGAAGCTCTTGAAAGATAGAAGGAGAATGAGTGACTTTTTCATCAGTGTATGATTCCTCATCAAACCTCACATGAATGGATTCTTCAACACATTGCCTATTCACATGAAAAACACGAAAAGCCTTTGAAATAGATGAGTACCCAACAAAAATACCTTTATCAGCCTTAGGTTCAAACTTGGATCTTGGGTCACACTGATTTAGAATATAACAAATGCATCCGAACACATAAAAAAAGGATACATCTGGTTTTCGATCTTTCAGCATTTCATATGGAGTCTTCTTGTGAATCCTGTGAATTAGAGATCGATTCTGAGTAAAACACGCTGTATTGACAGCTTCAGCCCAAAACAACATAGGAAGACCAGCATGGATCATCAAGGTTCTTCCTGCCTCAATCAGTGTTCTATTCCTTCGTTCAGCAACACCATTTTGCTGAGGAGTACGAGGAGCTGAGAAGTTTTGTCCAATTCCTTTATTGTCACAAAATTCTTCAAGAGTTGAGTTTCGGAACTCAGTACCATGATCACTTCTTAGTTGCTTAACTTTAAGACCTGTCAGTGTCTCATTTTTACTAATCAGTGAGATAATTTCCTGTGCAGCATGACTTTTCTTCTTCAAGAAAACTACCCAAGTAAATCGAGTGAACTCATCAACGACCACTAGAGTATACTTATTTCCACCTAGTGAACGAACAGGAATAGGTCCAAATAGGTCCATGTGGAGTAGATAAAGAGGGACTGATATACTGGAACTTTTGGATAAGGTGTCTAAGTCCATAACTTATTTGGTATATACTTGACCCGACCGGCATAGTCCATTTGGGTTGCATCTCATCCAAACTATTATGGATAATTTTATGAGAGTTATACACATATGTTTATTAATATATTATGAGTTATAATATATTAATATGAAGTTACGTTATTTAATTAGTTTTAGTCTTAAATTAATTATGAATTAATTTAGAGATTAAAAGAAAGACTAATTAGATTATGGGCTATTTGTTTTATATAGTGTGGGCTAATACTCATTTGTTAATGGTCTAGGCTTATGTGGAAGTCCATGGATGATCCATGGAGCTTTTAACCCATGGATCCTTGGAAAAGGAAAACACATGGGTTATTAGGGTTTCACCCTAACCATGCACACTATATAAGCATGCTTATGGAGCATGAAATGGAGCCTAAGAAAAAACTAGTGAACTAGTGTGTGTGCATGTGTGTGGCCGATTTTATACAAGGTGTATACTCTCTCAAAGTTTTCCAAGAGTTTGTGGTGTTTGTGATTCCATTTGAGGCATTCACACTATTGGTGCTTGGCCCTCAAACTCCTTAGAACCAAACTCACCAAAAGGTATGTAATCTCTTCTAACTCTTTTATGTTGAAATGTTCCCCATGTCATGTTAGATAGGTTATAAACCTTGGAAAATTATTATTTTGCATGTATTTAGACAAACATAGATCCAAGGTTTATTAGGGTTGCATGCACACTTAGGAAGTGTTAGATTGCTCAAAACCCAACAGTGGTATCAGAGCCTAGGCTTGCTTGTTTGATAGTTGATGCAAAATAGTGAAAAAGGTCGAAATCGTTGCTGTCTGCATGGTGGACTCGCCGAGTCCATTGGGGGGACTCGACGAGTCCAAGGCAAACTTCAACCTACTCGACGAGTCAGTTCATGCACTCGACGAGTAGGATCGAAAGAGTGCAGATTCTCGACTTTTGCTGCTGGAAATGGACTAGAAACATTACCCTAAATTGTTTTGGTGTTATAAAACTTATTTTAGTTGTTGTAATGGTTGTTCTAATCCATTTACAATAGCATATATCAAAATTCCATGATTTTATGTGTTCATATAATTCTTGAATTTTTGATGATCATGTTCATGTTCTTATGAATTTAGAAAATGATAGGAATTATTTGCTGAATTGTTTAGGATTAATTCTTTATCATTTATGTGTTTTAATGGAGTCCATAATTTGTCCTCAAGTTATGGATTACCAAAGGTCACTTTCATTTAACACACACTTAAAACACATAAGTTACATGAAAATGAAGAGTCTTCATTTTTATGAACCTTTAATTCATAAGTTATGAAATGAAGAGTTTTGCAAAGTTACAAAACTTGCCCTCAAGTTTTGGAATTTGTAAAGTTTCACACACTTTAATAAACTTTAATTCCAAACCTTATAGTTTTAATAGTTAAAATTCAACCCTTATACTATTTATAACATTAATGGTTAATTATTATATATATGTATAAGAATAAGTCGTTTTACCGTTAGTAGGCCTCATTTACGAAGCCGGTCTATAAGGTGGGTATAAGGTTGTTGCCTATAAAATGGCGACTTAATGGGTGTATACTCTCACCCACCGTTTGCTTGATCGGTGGAGGGTCGTTAGCCGAACGGGTAGAACAATGACTTTAAATCCTCATTAAAAGTATAATGAATATTATAAAGTAACTAAACTCTTTTAATTCCCAATCTTAGTTATTTTAGGAAAATTTTGAACATGGTGCTAGTCCATGGAATTCACACTTTGTACCTTACCAAGTCGTTGGTGGAGCGTGTGTGGTTAACCGGCACACTAACTAGGACTAGTAAGGATCACGAAGGGTGACTTAATGTTTGTCATAGATCAATGGAGCGTGTGTGGTTAACCGGCACATTGATTTTGGTGATAATATTAAGAGTACCAAGTGAATTAGCATGGTTATTCACACCTTGTTTTGTGATCCTCGGCATCCTAGTCACAAAACTTGAAGGGCACAATCGAGATTGAAACATGCCATTGAAAAGTTCAATGAATCTCAAAAGAATCTAGGAATTTCAAATCCAATTAAACCTAATAAATCATTTCGTTTTCATGGTGGAAATTGGTGAATCATCATTCATCTACCTTTCAAATATATTATTACATAGATTACGGCATCCCTCTTCTAAGTGTAATATATTGTGATTGGATCCTAGCCTTAATATTACATTTGGGTGTCTTATTAAGGATCCTAAATATCTAATCTAAACTTACTTTCTTCTTTCGTCTTCCAACACTAATGCTTCAGGCTCTAACCCAACTGGTTCTTTCTCTCTCATGAATCTTTGTGGGAGGGTCATCTTTGATGGTTCCAACTTCATGGATTGGATTAGGAACATCAGGATGGTTACTCGTTACGAGGACAAGGAATATGTCCTCGATAAGGAGTTAAAAGAACTTGATGAGTCTACTGCTACTCCTGAGGAGATCGCTGAATTCAGGACTCATGAGAGAGATGCTACTAAGGTGGCATGTATCATGATGGCCACGATGACAGCCGAGCTCCAAAAGTCGTATGAAGATTTCTACCCTTTTGAGATGCACCAAGACCTGATGGAAAGGTACCATCAGAGTGCTCGTCAGGAGCGGTATGAAATAATCTCCTCCATAATAACTACCCGCATGAAGGAGGTGAATCCGTCACGGGCCACATGCAAAAGATGCAAAGGTATGTGGACCGTTTGCTGAAGCTGAATGTTAACATCCCCGAGGAGTTGGCAATTGACATCATTTTGCACTCCTTGCCTTCTTGTTATGATCATTTTCGAATGACATATCATATGAACAAGGAGGAAGTTACCCTCAGCAAGCTTCAAGGACTCTTGAAGACCGCGAAACCGGTCTTAAGGGTAAAGCGGTTGTTACCTCTACTACTCCTACTCCAACTCTACCCCTGTTTTAGCTATTGGGCAAGGCAAAGGGAAAAAGAGGAAGCACCCTTCGAAGGGTACCAAGGGAAAGTCTCTTGAAGGCTCCTCATCAAAGACTAAGAACGGTTCTGTCACTCCTTCTGCCATTCCCAAGGATGCTGAATGCTTTTATTGCCATGAAAAGGCACACTGGAAGCGAAACTGCCCTAAGTACTTGCAGGATCTAAAGGATGGGAAAGTGAAACCCACCTATGCAGGTATTTACACTATATTGTCTAATTACTCAACATATTCTAACTCTTGGGTGCTTGATACAGGATGTGGTATTCACATATGTTCTGATTTGCAGGGCCTAAGAAGAAGTGAGGATGTGGAGCACGGGAAGATAAACTTAATCATGGGGAATAGGAAGGCTTCACCTGTTTCCAAGATTGGAGTTTATACTTTGTTGCTTAATAATGGGTTAAAATTAGATTTGAATAAATGTGTGTACTCGTCTGAAATGGCGAGGAATATTATTTCTTTTCATGCTTTGTACAAACAAGGTTTTACCTTTTCGTTTGATAATGAATGTGGTGGTATTAATGCTTTCTTTAATAATGTGTTTTATTTTAAAGCATTACCTTGTGATGGTGTGTATGAAACTGTGTCGATTGTAGACAACTTAGGAAATAATGTGTTGTATATTGATTCTTCTACTAGCCTAGATAAAGCATCATTGTGGCATTGTCGTCTTGGACATGTAAACAAGAAACGCATAGGCCAACTCCAAAAGAGTGGAGTCTTGGAATCATTTGACCTTAAATCAGATGATAGTTGTGAATCTTGTCTACTTGGAAAAATGACAAAATCACCCTTCACTGGAACTTGTGAGAGGGGTGAGGTTTGTTGGACCTAATACATACTGATGTATGTGGGCCATTCAAAACCGCCACAAGGGATGCTAATCGGTATTATGTGACTTTTATTGATGATTTTAGTAGATATGGGTATGTCTACTTAATCAAACATAAGTCCGAAACCTTTGAAAGGTTTAAGGAATTCAAACAGGAAGTAGAAAATCAATTGGGCAGGAACATTAAGATGCTTCGATCCGATCGAGGTGGTGAGTATCTTAGTACCGAGTTCCTTGACTATCTTAAGGAGTGTGGGATTGTCTCACAATTGACTCCTCCCAGGACACCACAGCTGAATGGTGTAGCTGAGAGGCGTAATCGAACCTTGTTGGACATGGTTCGCTCTATGATGAGTCGAGTTTCGTTACCAATCTCTTTTTGGGGGTATGCCTTAGAGACTGCCGCCCATATCCTTAATCTAGTCCCTACAAAGAAGGTTACCAAAACACCTCATGAGATGTGGACTGGGAAGGTTCCCAATTTGGACCACATCAAAATTTGGGGTTGCGAAGCTTTCGTGAGGCGTGAAACTCATGATAAGCTTGAACCCCGAAGTGAAAGGTGTATTTTCATCGGCTACCCACAGAAATCCTTCGGTTACCTCTTCTACAGACCCAGTGAGAATGTGGTCTTTGTAGCACGAAGAGGGATCTTTCGCGAGAAAGAATTTATAAGCCAAGGAGACAGTGGGAGGCAGATTGATCTTGAAGAAATTCAAGAATCAATTGGTGAAGGAACCTCAGACACTAGCAATCAACCTGAGGAGGAAACTCCTGTTGATCCAGCTGACGAGTCTGTACCTCCGAGGCGTTCCACACGGGTTAGGAACACACCTTCGTTTTATTATGGTTTTCATATTACTACGGAAGGTGATACGTTTATTAGTGATAGTACACTAGTAAATTTGGATGAACCTAGCAGTGTTAAGGAAGCCATGGCAGGCCCGGAGTCTGCTAAATGGAAGGAGGCTATGGACAGCGAGATACAGTCCATGTATGACAATCAAGTTTGGAACTTGGTTGACAATGTACCAGGCCGTAAAACAGTCGGGTGCAAATGGATCTTCAAGAAGAAGACAGACATGGAAGGAAAAGTGCATACTTATAAGGCTCGACTGGTTGCGAAGGGTTTTACTCAAACTCAAGGTGTTGATTATGATGAAACCTTCTCGCCGGTAGCAAAGATTAAGTCTATTAGGGTTATGTTAGCCATTGCAGCATTTCATGATTATGAAATA